ACAAAGTACTTGATTGATGAACACTGACTGCCAGCAATGTTTTTAAAAGACCTCATTTAGTTTGTAATTGACCTTTATTGTGATCTTCTTTAGCCTATTTAGAGAAGCAGATACATGTTTATTAAAAAAAGATGAAGTGAGTGAAGTTAGATGAATACCAAAGAGTTTTAAAATGTTAGTTCAAATAGAACTTCTATTAATAAAATGTGTTCATCACTAAGCTGTGTGTGTGCAAGTGAGTGAGATGGGTATTTTTCTTTTTCATACTGCCATGTAGTTGTTAATAAAGTATTATGAATCTTCTCCAACTAATTGTTATAATATACCAGACACAGACATTATACCTTTATGATACTTTTAAAAGTCAATTCAATAGGGAAAAAGCAGGGAGGTCTTGTTTTGTTTCATAGTTCTTTTCTGTCAATATTGTTGGTGAGCTCACAGAGATAGTTCAATCATGAGGCTTACTTTTTATTTCAAAAGCAACTGTTCTATTTTGTGACATTCTTTAAATTTCAGAGATTTTTTTTTTCTAAATAATAAATTGACAAGTAGCAAGCATACCTGCTTCTACAATCACAGTTATATGATGTACTTTTGCTGAGTAAATGTATTTACTATCAGTCAAAAATCTGAATTTATTTTTCCATCTTGTTGGGTCTCCTCTGAAGTCAACTAGAACTCGATTTATAACCACTTGTTCAGAACATGTTAATACTAGGGAAAAAAGTCAAGTGTTTTCATCATTTGATAAAAAAAATATGTTTTTAAATTAAAAAAATAAATGTCAGGCCTGCTCTCTTCTTTATTGCTAGGTGAAGTAACATATTAAGAAAACGAATGTTAAATTGTTCATTTTGATGCCTTAATTGTATCAATTTCTTAGTGCTTTCATCATAGTGGAGAATATATTTTCAGTCATTCAGCCTTTTCCATACAGAGATTACACTGAATTTTAAGAACTGACTCAAATGAGAAATTACCATTCTTTCAGATCTGATGTATGGAGTTACTCAAATAGGCTAAAAAAGATCACAATGAAGGTCATTTACAAGCTCTGCAATAAATCAAAGTTTTCTGTCTTTTTCAGTAGCCAGTTCATCACCATCACAAGCAATCTCTCTGAAGCCCGATACATGGACATTTAAACCACTGCCTTGGAGTATGGCAACCAAAACAACCTCTCTGTGGCCTCCATGATACTTCAGTGGTTTACATTTGATTACTTTTTGTTGTCACAAAATAGGATACTTAAGCATTTTTGCAGAATAAACAAATATAACTATAGAGTCTATGAGGAACGCTTACATTTGTTATATCAATTCTAAAGAGTTCTAAAATATGTAGACTATTTCTGTTTGTACCCCATTATAGGTACCTAATACAATCCCTGAGATATTGTGTGTACTCTTTAAGATTTGTTGAATAAAATAATGTAAATAGTACTAAAGACAGAAGCTTGTCTCCATTTTTTTAAATAATATTTTGGCACTCAAAGGAGGTGGAGTTTCACAAATGGTCTTAATACTGGTATAATATGAATAAAAATAAAGTGTAGCCTGCTATTTATGATATCAATGAAACCCTTTTTCTTCATGGCAGTCAAAATAGGCAATACAAAATTATCAATTTCTCATGCGTTATTCTATCTAAATCTATGGAAAATTATTCTTATTGATTGAAGCAGCTTAAATGTTCAACGATGCACTCATTTTTGGTTGTTCACAAAATCACTTTATGTCATGGAGACCTAAGAGTGAAAAACACAGACTTAAAGACCCCATCTGCCTCACTGACCATCAACTATAGGATTTATCTTAATTATTATCCTCTTTATGATTTTTGTACAATTGCTCTTAATCTTTACTTATACATATCTTTATGGAGTAGATATAATATTGTGTACACAAATGAACTGTCATTGCTTCTGAATTTAAATTTAGAATGTGAATATTTCCCCATGCTATTAAAAACTTTTGTAAATCATATTTTAATACTCGTCAATTAGATATATTTACTAAATCCTATATATCTACTCCCTAATTATTAGGCTTAGTAGGCTACTTTAATTTTAAGCCATTATGTATAATATTGTGATGTGCACATGTACATATATTACGGTTTTAGACATTTCAGATTATTTTCTTAGGCAAGACTCCATAAATGAAATTATTGGGCCAAATAATAGGAACATTTTGAGACATTTTATTCAAATTCCCAAATTATATTCCAAAAAAGTTTATGACATAATTCTCCAACTAGTTTTATACTGAGTGATGGCCTCACTTCCATCTCACCAGCATTTGTCTTGGTCTTATTTTAAAGAAGACCTTGTTAATTTGTAAGATTAAAAATGACATTATTGCTTTAAATCTATGTTTCTTTCATTACTAGTGAAGTTAATTTATTTATCTTAGTGATTATTTGTATGTGGAGAATGTTCAGTCTCTGATTGTCTAATTTCCAAATAACATTTCTTCAAATTAAAGTATTCTAGGTCTCATTTAGTTGCCTTTTCATCTGGTATAAGAAATCTCATTTCCACAGACTAACAGATACAGAGGACAATCTGGTGATTGTCAGAGAGGAGAGGAATGGAGGATTGGGTGAAAAAGGTGAAGGCATAAAGAAGTACAAATTAGTAGTTAGAAAATAGTCATGGGGATGTAGAGTATGGCATAGGGAATAGAGTCTACAGCATTGTAATAACTATTGTGTAGAGCCAGATGAGTGCTAGAGTAATTGGGCAGATCAATACATAAACTATATAAATAAATGTACTGTATACCTGAAACTAATATAAAATTTACAAAAAATCTCATTCCCTTTCCTTTAGTGAAAATTTGGCACTTAAATACCTGTCACTATTATCCTGGCAACTAGAGCCAGGTCCCACTCCAGCCCTTCTCTGGCTGCATCATTCTCTGCAAGGCAAGGAGTCCATGCAGCCAAGTGGACATACTACCTGAAGCCTGTCCCCACCCCCCGCCCCCTCACCAATTCAGATGCCCAGCACCCAGATTCCCTAGATGAATGGCTCCAAGCCTACTCCAGGGTTGCATGGCTCTGTTCATGATGCCATCCTCTTAAGGGCCTCTGTTTGTAGGCTTACCCTAACCTGCCAATATTAGAAATAGACCCCCAAATAAACTTCCATATCTCACCTTTTTGAGTATATTGTTTCTGAACTCACTCACAAAATTAATCCCTGGAACTTTCATATTTATGTTCAGCAAGCTTGAGGTCCAAGTTACAAAATACAAGGAAGGCATTTGGAGTCAGTATCAATTTGAATTCTGACTCTGCCACTTAACTAGCTTTGAGACTTTAAATAAGCAACTTAACGTCTCTAATGTCATGGAATGTCAAACTTAGAATGTAGATACTTTCTAATAAGGGTTAGGATTATAAAATTGTTTAATGTGTACAGTGTTTAGCATACAATAATCACTTGATAAATTAATCTTCATTATGAGAAAAATAACTCAGTATTAGTAAAAAATTATAAATTCTCTTCATTTTCCGAGTATGTAGGCAGAAAGTGTGCTATGAACTTGTGTGTATGTCTGTGTGTTCATGAATATAGTCACAGAGGCATAGGTTTAAACTAAAAATTGAATGTCAAAATTTAGCATGAATCAGAATTACCAAGATGGCTTGTTCAAACAGAGTGCTAAGCCATACCCCAAATTTCTGATTTAGTAGGTCTGGGATGAGCCAATAATTTGCCTTCCTAATGAGTTCCGAGGTGACACTGATGTTACGGGTCTGAGGACTACATTGGGAGAGGAGAACCACTGCTCTAACCCACTCTCCCATTTGCTGCCTCTGGCTTTCCTCTGCCCCAGGCTGCTACTATCCTGTGCAAACCAATACTTAGATGGTCTTCCACCTGGGAGGAAGGGTAAGGAATGGTGGGGAAGGTGAGGTGCAGTGGGGTTGGGTTTCTCCTTTGTTAGCTCCTTAAATCCACAGTTCCTTTCATTTCTACAATTTCCCCAGGGTTCATTTTGGAGAAGGGAGCCTGAAACTTGTGTTATTTCATCATCTTGGCAAAACTAGAACCCACACCTCCTTTGACTGTGTCTGTCTCTTGAGTTTAATAGTTACGTAAAACTTTGGTGATGAGTCATTCTAGTTTTGCCAGATTAAAATAAAATCATATAAAAAATTCCTCGTTAAGTTGACTATTCTTGTTCAATTAAGTAACAACATAAATTCCACCAATACTATGAAGTTGCCATCTGAAATCATGTCCAACAATGGATTGCCTCTGTTACAGCAAGTTCCCTCTGGAAAACCCATTAAAAAAGAGGTCAGCTTGATGGAGAACGAATTGGTAAAAGATCATGAAAATAAAGCAGAGCAGTGCAAAAAGTTTCTAAAACCAGGGATTATGAGCCCAAAGCTATAGTTATATGAATTTTAGACCAAGAATTTTCAAACTGTTCAATGTTTCTCTTATGTTGGAAATAAACATCTTTAGAATCTTGATTATGCAGCAGTACTTTAATTACATATTTAATTATATATATTGTGGTTTTTAAATCTATTGCCATTTAAGTAACATGTATAATAACTCATAATAAAATAAAGTAATAGTTTATAGGCAATGACTCATCATAAAGGTGGACATTGAACTTTTTTTAAATGAAGGAAAACGAAGAGGAATAATAGAAAAAAAGTACATATTAAGTACACTCTACAGTGAGAATGTAATCTTGGTAAAGGCAAGCTTCATCTTTACCTGAATCTCTCTCTCTCTCTCTCTCTCTCTCCCTCT